GTTCTGTGAAGGATGACCACTGGTAGGAAGCCTTTTAGCTGTGTTTAAGATCAATCTGCATAACAGTGACTTTAAAAATGGAAATGACATGTTTTGAGTTTTGATATTTGGGATATGGCCATTGCACTACTTTGCGGGGTACTTAACCCCCCTCAAACCAAACAAGCCACCCCCTCCCCTCCCCCGTCTGCATCCTTTTTTTGAAAACTAAAATATGGTCACCCTAATTAAGGGATCTAAAATATGTCAGAATAATAATACAGAATAAGGCATTAATATGTCCTTTATGAGTACCAATAAACAGCCAATATGCTAGAAACAGGCATGCTAATAAGCAACTAGTTAATAGCAAGAATTGGTGCCTGAAGTGCTAAAGTGCAGAGTAAAGCAGATGAATTGGAGCATTATGTTTTCAATCAAAGTTACAAATGTGATTTTCTTACACAATCCCAAAATGAAGGTAGTGACAATCTGTTGTCCTTCTCCTTGTCTTCCCTCAAGACTGACCTTCACTCACCTCTCTCCTCCACCTCCACACATCTGGGAGCTATTTCCTCCCCAAAGGACTCACTTCCTGTGGGCAGCTGCTTAACATGGAGGTGTTTCTGCAAGAGGTCATGGTGGGATCATAGAAAAAGGTGAGACTGATTCAGTTCCAGGTCATGAGAAACCTATGCCTGACCTCTACCGCAAGACAAAATGGATGTTTTATTTTTAAAGCAAAAGTGCAAAAATGAAAATCCCATCATTATTTACTCACCCTCATGTCATTCCAAACCTGTTTGCTGTTATTTAGTCTGTGGAAAGTTTGAAGAATCTTCACAGACCTTTTAGTTGACAAAATCACCTAAGAACAATATGTATGAATAACCCTTAGTTTGAAAGCATTTAGTTTGCATAAGTGTCCACTATCATATCAGCGGTTGACAGAACATTTATTCATATATCCATAAGTATACATAAATACTGACTTTTATGAAATGAAATATCCTAACGCTTACTCTGATTCTGACCTCATACATTCTAAAAACAGCTTAAATTTTAGTCGAAATGCCAAAGGCATCATAAACTTGATCTTTATTAGCTGACCTAACATCAAAATAAAGCGAAGTCCCAAGGCACAGGCAAAGTTTTAAAGATCTAAACAGAACTGTAAATTCTGATGGATATTGCATAAATAGCTTTGGGCTTTTGTTCCGCACACGCGGAATTTCCTTAAATTCGTTTTGAAGCTGCGTCTCCAAAGGACCTTTTAATGTCAGCATGGGCATCTGGTTTCTGCCCGATTCAAGATGGGTTCTTTTCATTCATGTCTTATGTAAATGCTATTGAACAAAAATAACCGCCAGGCGGGAGGATTCTTCCAATAACCCCATCACACCATATCTCATCTTTACTGCTCTTAAGTCACATCACTAATGCATCACTTCAATCTTCCAGCAATGAGGCTGATGAGCACAACTGTGCCATAAACACAACAACTCAGCTAGCACAAGGCTAGAACAGAAGATTTATTCACATTAAAAAACGGTTCATGTTTTTAACTAAATTATTGTATATGTAATATTGTATAATGTAATAACAATATGGCATTTTGCAAATCACATTTTCTCTTAACATATGCAATGGAACTAGCACTAATTTAATAACTACCAAAAACTATCCAATCTGATATCCCCAAAACAGGGCTGTCAATTGGATGTTAATTTACAGTGATTCATTATATTTAACACATACACAAACATTAAAATGAGTGTAAAATTAATCATGTCAACTGACCCTGAAAATTCCATGAGGAGTCCCACCATCAGAGCAATTAGTGTTGCAGCCATCAGTTAAAAAAATTAAATAAAATAAAATCATGTATTCGCCCTCATGTTGTTCCAAACCTATATTGCTCGTATTCTTCTGTCAAACACTAAAGAAGATCATTTGAGAAATGTCTCAGTGTTTTTTGTGCATACAATGGAAGTCAATAGTAACCAACATCATTCAAAATATATTCTTTTGTGTTCTGCAAAATCAAGTAATTTTGGATTTGGAAGGACGTGAGGGTGATTAAATGATGACTTTGGGTGAACTATACCTTTAAGTGCATTTTACAAACCTCTAATGACCAAGTCTGACATACAAGACACCATCAAACAGGCTAAACTACAAAGAATGAACGCAGCATTGTTCCCCTGGATGCATTGGTGCCTAGTGCACCTTTGTTTCAAATTGTTTTATTACAGCCTAATTAAATTTAAGAGGCAGAACTGTGTGGTTGGTTGTGGGGAAAGGCATGATCCGCTGGACTCATGTTTGTTCCTGTGGGAGGAGGGGAGCCAGAAGTTGATTTAATAGCATTTCCACTTCAAAGTAGCCATTATTGCTGGGTTAGGGTCCCCTATTACCTGCACAACCCACGGATGCTTTAACAAGCTCTGAGGAAAGGAAAGGCATCTTTGAATACTGAACCTCTGTTACAACTGGGTCTAAATGGGAATTACAATTCCATCCTTATTATAACTGTGGCTTATTCACACAAAACTTATTTGCTTTTTAAGTCATAGTAAAGACCTCCCAATGACTTGAAATTAAGCCAATGATATTTATTATTGACTAACCCTAATTCAGTGCCTATCCCTAAACAGAGTCTGTAGTTTAGTGTGTAGCTTTCCTCAGTTGGTCCACAATATACTCACAATTTTCAGTTTTTACTTTGTGGGAACCTTTGGACACACATAATGAAGTGGTGGTTTTGTTTTACTTTAAACCTGAAAATAAACCAAACACGAAGAAATATTTAGAAATCCTATGTGCATTTCTTTGCACAGGCGAGCAGATGTTCTCGCTTCCACTGAAGCACAAGATGCTCGCTGGATCATTATCAAATCATGATTGTCAAGTTTTGTTCATGTCAACTTAAATACAGCTGTCATTACAGCAGAGGAGTCACAAACCAAATACTAAGGTATTCTGAAATTCCAAACTCAACTTTACTTATTGTTACATTGATAATATCATTTTGCAAGAACTGTATTATTAGTAGTAGTAGTATTATTACATTAAAAATGAGTGCAAGGCATTTTCACAAGTGGTCTCAGACTTTTGGACCCCACATACAGAATTTCTTTCAGTCTTTATGTCATCCACTATAACAGTTCTAGTCAAACAGAAAACAGCAGATTAAAGAGATATGGTTACAGAAACAGTTATTCATTCAGTGTGTGTTGTAATGCATCAGATATGTGTTAGACCACAAGATGGCAGACATGCATGACACTGAGAGCGGTGTTCTGCCTGGTGCCTTCGCTCCCAGCTGTTCCTTAACTCCCAATTCTGTGAAGAAAATGCACTAGGAATGTACACCAATTTCAAGATGCTGATTGCTGAACAGTTTTTATTTTTTATTTTTAATAAGGACCTTGGTAAAATGAATGAATATCAAATCAAAACAAATGCAGATTCTGAGAAATCCAAAAACGAAACTATCTCAAATACAGCTTGTTATTTTGATAACTTGTATTCCACAGCAGTAAAAGTTTTGATTGATATGAATGTGAGTGGGTGATGAAAAAGAAAATATTCCACTGAAACTCATTTCATTTTCATTTCAAACCGAGAGCGCATGTCAAATGGAATTTAGCATGATGCCTATAATTAAACCTGATGCACAGGTTTGCATAGGTAGATTTGCACTGATATACACTCTAAAAAATGCTGGGTTAAATATAACCCAGCGCTGGGTTAAAAAGGGACAAACCCAGCTATTGGGTTGTTTTGACCCAGCGGTTGGGTTGTTTTGAACTCAACCGCTGGGTCAAAACAATCCAATAGCTGGGTTTGTCCCTTTTTAACCCAGCATTTTTTAGAGTGTACTGCTACGATAATGCTGCTTTTGTTCGTATCTAAAGGGCTTTGCTTAAAGATTCCCCGCAACATCTTCACATTCTTTTGAATGAGACAAGAAGACAACAGTGAGAGGTTTTTTCTCTTTGATCACAACACCTGGACGTCTCCCACAAATCAAACGACAGCCGCTTACAAAAAAAGATTTCCGGTGAATTTGATTTAATATATATCCTACAGATGGGATGCTTTTCCTGTGGGAGCTTCAGTTGTCTGACTCATCCTTAAGAGACACTTGAGCAATGTTCAGAGTTTGATAAAAGAGTCTCGAGATTTGCTCTAGACTTGTCATACACTTACAGTTGACACTTGCCAACTTGAGTTGTTTCTGTGCCTTGTTCTGACAGGACTGATTGTGGTATAAATTTCTGAGCAAATGTATTTATTCATCTTTACAAGACAATCTGATAGACACACAAGTATTTACTTTAAGATTATTAAGCTTTGGAATAAAAGTATCATGTTCCTCTGAATCTAATTTCTTCACCAAATATGTTTTGAAATATTTCAACACAATCAGAAGTATTGGATTTCGATCCCCTCTCAAAAGGGCCATAGCGTGACTGTGTTAGACCACGTCATTTTCAGACAGTCATATCCTTTCCTTGACAAAAGTACCAAACTTTTCTGGTTAGCGCAACAGGATGAAGCACTCTCAAGGTTTCCAGATGTGGCACAAAGAGAGCCCCCACACGGAGGAATTAGTGTTTACTATAAACATGGAGAAGCATAGCACATGTTCTTTGTGAAAAGTTGCTTTCATTATTATTAATTTCCTCTGGTTTCCTTTTTCTGTCAATGACCATCTGAATGTCCACCATTGTGTTGTGACCACAGAACATGATGTGTTTTTTAAAAAGCCTAATCAGCATGCATAGATTCCCACAGTGTTTCATTTATCCAATTTTCCATTAAAGATTCTTGTTTTGTCCGTAAACATAATGCCATTACAACAAAGCATTCTCACCGTGGCGGCAGAACCAATTGTATTTCTTGGCAATGTCGTCTTTACCTGGAATGTTGCAGCACAGGCTCAAAACAGGCTATACCAGTAACCGCTTCTCAAAGCCGACACACAGAAGTGCTTTCACTCAGTACCTGTAGACATGTCTCAAAGCAAACCTGAGGAGCGTCTAGCTTTGGAGTTGAGCTGTGCGATCTGTTTGCAGCTGTACCGTGATCCCGTGGCCCTTCCGTGTGGACACAATTATTGCTTGGGTTGTATACAAAAGGCTGCCAGCGCAGAAGATCCCAAGTCCCCAAAACGGTGCCCGGAATGCAGGGAAGAGTACGGCAGCCTGGAGACGCTTCCCAAGAACTTCAAGCTTAGCAGTATTGTGGATGGGTTCCTGGTGGCCACGACAGGTGGCGGACTGAGAGGAGGCCCTACAGTACCATGTGACCAGTGTCTGGACAACCCTCTAGCTGCGGTGAAATTCTGCACACGCTGTGAAATGTCACTGTGCCCCAGCCATCTCAAAAAACACGAGGAACGGCACCGCTCACTACACGTCTTAGTGGAGCTGCCCGCAGAACGGGATGGGAAGAGGTGCCCGGTGCACTTGAAGGTCACGGAGTACCTGTGTGTGCAGGAGCGACTGTTCCTCTGCTCCGACTGCTTGATGGAGGGCTCTCACCAGCACCACGAGGTGCAGACGTTCGAGGTGGCGAAGGAGGAAATGAAGAGAGTTCTTGAGGAACTGGGGAAGTCTGTGTCTGACAAGCTACAGATTACAGAAGCTCTGGTGAAAAGTGCCAGTGAAGGTCCTACGGACAAGGCCGAAGATAAACTGGTGGCCAGAGCAAACATACTGCTGGACAACATGACTTTGCTTATAAGTACATACAAGGTAAGAATGAGGTAAAATGATGCTACTAGTTCAGACAAAATGTGCATGATGTGGAAGCAGTCTCTTTTGATTTTAGTCAACCCAGGCTCATTGGAAATACGTGTTTAGCCGCTTTTCCACCAAAATTATCGTTTCCATCGTGGTCTAAAGTACCGTGAAGATTAGGCTAATAGTCTGGTGGCGTCGGTCTGCGTGCATTTCTCAATACCAAGTACACAAATTTCGTATTTGCATCCTCTGTAATTCGTACTTCGCAAGTTCGACTCAGGAGTGTGAACTCCCAGGGACGGGACGACGCAAGTCTGGTAATTCTGCAAATGGAACAGCAAAGTACTTGATAACGTCAGTCAGCTCGCCTTGGCTACTGCAATTTTCCTCATTGTATTTACAATAAGAAGGAATATGATATCAAACACCACTGCCTCTTTTCGTTTTCATATAAACATATTAATAGACGCAGAAATGTAGTTCAGGGAACATACATACATTACAATGAAACAAAATATATCAAACAGCATTGCCTCTTTTTATTTTCATTTTAACATATTTATAGGTTAAAGGTGGGGTAAGTGATTTCTGGCAGCCAATGTTGATATTTCAAATCAAAACACGCCCCTACCCCAAAAGGGTCTCGCCCCTATTTTAATAGCTCCGCCCCACACATACGTACTCAACCCAGGCAACGATTATGGCAGAATCTGCTGTGCCAGCTGGCCGAGGGTATGATGACATCAATAAGTGAAAGCAATGTGTGTTACTATCGTAATACAGTTCAAATGTGTTTTGGTAGTAGCCTACTGTGTGTTTTAATGTGCATATATGTGTTTTAACAGCATATATTAGTTATGTGAAACAAAGCAAAACCAATGTTACTCACCTATCGAGAAGAAACAGCAACCTCGGCGTCCGATCGCAGGCCTTCCGCTCCTTGAGTTCTCTCCGCTGATCCGATATTTAAGCCTTCTTTTGTTCTGCAGACGTTTTCCTCTTTTGTTTTCTTATCTGTCATCTCTATCTTTCTGTCGCTCAGCTTGGCTCAGCTAATGTCTGTCATGTGCACTGAGCGCTCTCTCGTCCACATCATGAGTAGACACGCCCCTTACTGCTGATTGGCTACAAGTTTGTTTTGGTATTCGGCCCGACTCAGTTTTCTAAAGTGTTTTTGAAAAAATACATACCCAACCTTTACTAGAATAATAGAATAAAGACCAAAGATTACCTGTTAGATTTACCCAAAACAAATTATATCTCATGTTTAACCACTACAGAGACATCAGAGCCAGCAGCAAATGTCAGAAGGACTAGCCGAGTTGAGGCTGCTCTCAGTGGGATACATGAGCACTGAGCACCTGGAGATCGCGTGGCACTCACGTCTCCAAAGTCGGAGGAGTACAATTTTCAAGCAGACGCTGTCTTTATAAATAAACAGCAGATTTTAGTTTTAAACAACTACATTCTCGCCTGAAATACTCTTAAAACCACATTTCATGACACAATAACAGTAATATATATTTTTTAAATATGCGAATAAATGGTGGTTGAAATACAATGCTGCGTGAACTCAACCAATCAGCATGTTCAGCGCCCAAGTCCCGCTCCCGAAAGTTCCTAACCTTTGAAAAAGTATTACCTCGCGAGCAGGGACTATTTGAGGGCCAAATTTTTACCCGGTACTTTATTTAGATCCTGGTTCCTGCGGTGGAAACACACCGAGTACCGGCCCAAAGTCCTTATAGTTCCTGGGGAAAGTTCCTGCGGTGGAAACGGGCTTTAAAGTTGACATTTCATTAACACCGATACCTCACTGCACGGTTCGCGGCAGCTTCAAAGAGAAATGTCCAGTGAGTGGAGCTAAAACTCGCTTTCAATAAGTGACCGTTACATGTTTTTAGTACGTTGGTACCTGCATTGCTTCAGGTACGTATTGCACGGTTCAGAATTCAAATGTCTGGTGAGTGTCGCCAACAGTTAATGCTCTACCGTGTTGGAAAATGGGATTCATACCAGAGTGCTTCACCTCACAAATGCAACACTGTATCGCATGAGCTACCAAGCAAACCTACTACATTAGAAAACCCACACAAATGAAGTTCAAAAGTATCGCTAACGTTCAAAAGTATAATTTTTCAAATGTCACAGCATGTAAACTTGTTTTGAAGTCATAACACCATATTTTGCGATGAATTGTGCGAAATTATGCTTTCTTAATCGAAACTCTGGCCCTGTAAAACATACTTTGCGTGGAAAGTAATAAAAGTTGTCAGAGTTTGACAATTTCAACTGGAAAGTGCAGAGATTTGTACGTATAGGTATTTGAGTTTTGCAGAAATGTAGATTGAGGCACATATTTCCATTAAGCCTGGGTAGGTTTTAGTAGTCATGCCAAAGAAATGTCACCATCACTTATGTCAAGAGCAACAGATCTACACCAGTGCTGACGACATACAGTTATGTTGTGGTAAAGCACATTAACACTGTTTATATGTGATGTTTTAAGAGTCGTATGAGCACTGTGATGAACGACGAGCTTCATTCTCGGGACAAAAGTTGGCAGGCCAATCTATGCGACTTGGAGGGTTGTCTACACCAGCTGCAGGAAGCCCAAAAATGCACCGGTGAGGTTCTCTCTCAATCCTCAGAGTTTCTCTTCATCCAGAACTACCTCAACGTCGAAGCAAGGGTCCGCCAGGCTGCTAATGTCACCATTCCTGCTCTACCTTCCCAAGAGTCTTCCCATGCCAAGCAGCTGTGCTCGATCCTACGTACAGATGCCTTCCGTGCCGAGATGAGTCTTCTATTGGAGTACCTCCATGGCATGATGAACCCTCTAGACCTGACCTTCAACCCAGCCACGGCCCATTCTAGCCTTCTGCTGTCCAGCGATCTCAAAACAGTCAAGCAGTGTGCCGGAGTTAAGAGCAGCACCACTGGAGATCAGAGCGAACGCTTCTCTACGGCCACTCAGGTCATGTGCACCCAGGGTTTCTCCACAGGAGTTCACATGTGGGCAGTGGAGGTTGGTCCTGGGTGTATGTGGTCTCTGGGACTGTGCTATAAAAACATCCCACGTAAAGGTGACCACAGCAGGCTGGGGCATAACACCAGTTCCTGGAGGTTGCAGTGGAAAAGCAAGAAGCTGACGGCATGCTATGACTCGGCTAATGTGGCCATAGGTGAAGGGCTGGTCATGCCGCCAAAGAAGGTCGAAGTGACCCTGGATTACGAAGGAGGAACTATTGCATTCCACAGCTCAGGTCAAGGAGGGCGAAGGCAGCACCTTCATACATTTAGTGCCATGTTCAAGGACACAGTATACCCTGCGTTCGCGATCCACTCTACTTCAGAGGAGTCATGGATAACCCTTCTGAGTGGAGTTTGACTGACACCAGCATGCTTTCATTTTCACTCTTGCTTCATTCTCTTTGTCCTTTTTACATTCTTTATGCATTATTATGCTTAAACATCTGCACTGGGAAAGAAACACCCTGGCACAGTCATGTCATGCACATTTTATTTACTTAAGAAAAATACTGTAACAACTTAGCAGTTCTTGATGTATAGTAAAAATGTTGGTGTGATATTAAAGTCTTCATTTAACATGTTAAATAAATAAATACCAACCATTTTTACAATAATCAAGAAATGTAGTTACTAATACATTGGGAAATGGCTTTAAATTCAATAAGACAAATATGTGTCGCCTCAGTTTCAATGGGCATGATGCTTCTGGAACAGTCATATATACCAGAGCAAAGCAACCATAATTTCAAATTGACTTATTTTAAACTGTGAATGAAATGTTTGTGCAACACCTACAAGTATTGGCATACAGCTAAAAATAGGAGAAACTGAATGGGTTTTGTTTAAATGTTACTTAAAGTCTAGTTTCTTTGGCCTTTTAAGAAAGTAGACTGCACATAGTGCGTTTTATCCAGAAGTCAGATCTTTCTGTCTCTGGGAAATAATCAAATTCAGACGCTCTTAAAGAGCATGACATTTATCAGTGCTTTCGAGGTATGTCATAAGAGTTTTGCTTGCAGTTTCACTTGAACAAATGGTAATGCCAGTAAAAGTGACAGTAAAAGAATGCAAACTATGCATGCACATGATGAGTACATTAACACGCATGCTAACGAACAACATTCTTCAGGGGCATATGTGCTGTTTTGCAGATTAGATTAAATTTTACTAAATATGCAAAAACACCTGCAGCAAAGTTCTCTGTGTATACCATGGTCTGTATATGCTTTCACACTGAACAGAAATAAAAGCAAATGTACATCAGCTTGTCCTGTAAAACAAGAAATACTTGTTCACACTTTCTTATCACTTCGTTTAAATAGTTTTGACTCAAATCAGTCTGACCTGACACACTCTGTCTGCATTTTTTCTAAAGAACTTTGACAATAAATCTCAATATATGTAGAGGGTATGTTATACACAGACATTACTGGATGTACAAATTACACGGTGTGTTATGTATGCGCTGATTGCTTGAGGTTCTTGAATTATTGCGATTCATTGCTTTATTACATGTTCAGGATTATTTAAACATCACTTGAATGGTTATAACTTGTAAACTCATTCTGTAAGATTTTTTTTCCCATTTATTAATTGTCAACACATCTACAACAGCACCATATACTGGTTAGAGCCAGCTTGTTCTTAATCTGTATAAAATGTCTTTCTGATCAGTTATCCTCACTTGCACACATGGTTATAGCATAAATTTCAAATATTAATCTGAAACAATAATTAGTGCAAGTGTTTCTTTAACTTGTCCGTCAGGCTACATAACATGTTCAAAGACAGATTTGACACAACAATGGTAATATATTAGATGGTAATAGCTGACTTGTTATCAGGTCTGATGTGCCATAAAGAAACGACGTTTTACAGTTAACCATTAACATCATACGACTTTAACCCTGAAAGACCGCGGAAGAGAACATCACCTCAGCGACACGAAGTTCTCATCCAAACGTAAGTGCATAAACTATTTCTTATGTGTGTGATCCAGTTTTGGATAAGTAACATTTTTGTGCTTTCTGATTTGTGTTATATACTGATAAAAGGGAAGTTAGTTCTGTGAAAAGTTTGTGTAGCATATTTGCAAATCCAAATTGGTTTGTTATTTTGTTATGTAATGTTAAGTGTGCCAGAAAAGTCCAAATATTTAAGGCCACAGTGTGTCATTGCTTTATTAAGCTATTTGAAATATGTCATATTGCCTTGTGTATTTTGTCATTTTTAAACAGACGCTAGAGAGGATAGTGGTGAAAATGAGTGACATAGATGACGATAGCGAAATATACTTTTCAGTTAAAGTGAGTATCAATTAAGGCAGTGGTTCCCAACCCTGGTCCTGGAGGCACCCCAACACTGCACTTTTCGCACGTCTCCTTAATCAAACACACCTGATTCAGGTCATCAGCTCATTAGTAGAGACTTCAAGATCTGAAATTGGTGTGTCAGAGAAAGGAAACATGCAAAATGTGCAGTGTTGGGGTGCCTCCAGGATCAGGGTTGGGAACCACTGAATTAAGACATGTTGTTTCTAAATGGTATAATTGACAACAATGTTGTGTCATTTACTAAATAATGCTCTTAATGTGATTTGCTATCAAAACTGCTGTTTCTCACTCACGTATGGGGTTGTGTGTAGTTTTTGGGTCGTATGCAGGTGGTCCGTCCAGGTGGGATGCAGATTCTGACAGATGCAGTACAAGCCCTACAGGTGATAAAACCATAAATGTCACTCTACTGTAGTCATTAGAGATAGAGATATTATATAACTTGATCCTTTGTCCTGTGTCCCATTATTATCACTTTCCTTCCCTTTTAGGATCCAAACATAGAAAAGGATGAGAAAATGAAGAAAACTAAAGTACATCTGTTTCTGACCAGAAGTGCTATTGACATTCTAGAGCATAAAACTAAGGTGTGACAGAGGACTATGTACTCCATCTCAGACAGTGATGTGTACGATGGAGAATAACCGTCATTCACTGTCTCCCTCTCGTTTTCTCAGTTCATGCTGTACTCCTGCGCTCTGTCCTCTGTTTCTTTCTGCGCAGTACATCCGACTCAGCCCAAAATACTCGGCTTTGTGGCCAGACACCCAGCGGCGGACATGTACCACTGCTACATCTTCCAGAGCAAGACGTTTGTGAGTTCTAGAAATCCTAGATGCATCACATTTGATATGCATGATGCTTTTAGTTCACTATTTACCTTTTACTTCACTATTTTCCATTTACATTCAAAATTGTGAAGCCCCTATAGTTTTCATAGCCTTCTTATTGTTCTGCTGCCTCCTCTGCCTGGGAGTCTATGGAAACCACTTGAACTGTTTTAAAGGCAAGTCAGTAGCAAAAACGTTGGTCATACAAAGAAAATATACTCGCAGTCGAGTCCAAAAGAGTCAATTCCTCCATTTTTGAATAAGTCTTGATGTTTACTTTCCCTCTGTAAAATTGGGTACCAGCAACAGCTAGGTAATGACGCTGACCCTGTTTTGATGTAAAGTAAATGGAGATGAGGAATCAATTGACCCTTTGCCGGGAGATTGATTGACAGCCGCTCTGACCAATCGTAACACCGAATCTGCCATTTTGTCCGACAAATAAATCAGACATGAGTGTAGATTAACGTCAGTGGAATTGAACTTGAAAAACAGTGTGTATATAGATGTCTTTCTGCGGTTGAAACAAGATACCCTCTGATGTTCATTCATGTTTATTTCAAGCTATAACTAGTGAAGAGGAAGAGATTATCAGTTCACGTGCCGGCCGCTTTAACTGAGTGATCTATCACGACACATTAAAGAGCCACAAAACTGTATTTATTGTTTGAATTTCTTACAAAAATGACACAATTTGAAAGCTGATACCATGTATCACACCAGAAGTAACCTGCTCTGTTTTGTCTGTCGGCGTATTGTCAGTTTCCTCTTTGCGCCGCACTGTTTTTTCACTGTGTGGGAACATGATGTGTGGCATGAGAGCACAATGGCTTGTTGGACACAGTAACTTAGTGGGGCGGGTCTAGGCGAAGGGTCAATTCCATCGATTCTCTTGAGTGGCATTTCTATACCGTGTGAAATGACTTGCCTTGCTAATGCTGCAGGGCAGCTATTTTCTATGTAGGCAATAGACTCACAAGTACAGCTCCAACTCCTTGAACAGGGACAGACTGTAAATCTCTAAAAGTGTTTGTCAAGTTTAATAATAGCAATAAAAATGACAATAATAGAATCATAAAGTGCTGTTTTTAACTCAAACCATGAAAAATCTAAAGTAACCTACATTGCATTCAAGGTGCACATTTGATATTGAACACCATGACCCTGGTGTTGCTAGTGCATGCTTTATTGTTTGAGCTATGAAAAAGTTTCTTCAGCAGCAAATCAGCATATTAGACTGTTTTCTGAAGGATCGTGTGACACTGAAGACTGCTGAAAATTCAACTTTGATCACAGGAATAAATTACATTTTACAATATATTAAAACAGAAAAATTTTCTTATTAATTGTAATAATATTTCACAGTATTACTGAATTACTGTATTTTTAATCAAATAAGTGCAGACTTGGTCAGCATGATAAACTTTTTTCAAAGCACATAAAATCCCTGGTTTGAAAAGTCTTCTTCTTCTCCACAATTTCTGGCAATTAATTCAGAGCCCTGAAAGAAAAGATAATTCACATCCATTTAATCTTTGTTTTGATATCAGCCTTACAGTATTTACACTACGTATTTGTTGTTTTATAAACTTCATTAGCACATTTTAATATGAATTGTTTCCTTAATTGTAATTGCTTTTATTAATAAACTTAGAAAATCTCTCATAAACTTACATTGTTACAATACAATAAAATACAAGGTTATTTATATAGCACATTTAAAAACAACCGGTGTTGACCAAAGTGCTTTAAAAAAGCTAAAAGACAATAAAAATACATAAAGCATTTAAATGGTAGAGGAACAATAAAAATAAAAATACAATACAATAAAATACAAGGTTATTTATATAGCACATTTAAAAACAACCGGTGTTGACCAAAGTGCTTTAAAAAAGCTAAAAGAAAACAGACAATAAAAATACATAAAGCATTTAAATGGTAGAGGAACAATAAAAATAAAACCCTATGGAATGAGATAAAATAGAGGAGAAAAGCTTACAGTCAGTAATTAGTAGGGACAGGCATAAAATCATCAAATGTAAAAATGAGAACGAGCGCAGCAGACGGCGTGCCACACACAACGGCACCTTACATAAGCATTGTTGCAATGCTTTTTCGAGTTGATCTGCGTTGTTTTTCTTTCTGTCAGTCCCATCTGCTGGTGTCTATCATTGGTGACACCTTTCGGGCTCATAAGCAGGATGAAAGTCTGCAAGGCGATCGTGACCTGGTGGTGGAGGCCCTGAGACACAAGGTAACCGTCATCATACAGGACACATGACAGAAACACCTGAAGCTCAGCACACACATTTCCTGCGGCTTAACACCACATGACACGATGAAGTGGCACACAATCAAAGCATCTCTTTACTGTACAGTTTAATATGAGTTATATTTGGAGTGACTGGAGAATAGATAGAAAACTAAACTAAAAATGTAATTTTTAAAAAATCTGACATTTGTGAGGCATTATTCATTTTCGGGCATATTAACTTGTACCTGCAAACAGCGACTCACGCAGTCATAATAAAACGCTAAAAGATGGCTACAAGTCGTGACCCAAGCTGTTGACCATTACTGCTTTGACCAATCATGCAAACGGAAAGGTTGTCTTTTTTAAAAAAGAGAATCTCTGAGAGACATTAGGTTGGACTTGGTTAGAACACAGTGGCTTTGATTGAAGAGTGTCTGTTTAAATGCCTAAATCATCTAATATCTCCCTCTGCTGTTCAGAATAAGGTATTGGAGCGAGAGAATGCTGAGCTGAAGAGGAGACTGCAAGCCAATGGAGAAGTGGGTTATGTGTCAGGCTATGAGCCTACAGTAATGCCACAAAACACATACAAAAGCATGTTTAACCACACACGCGCAGAAGCACGCACTTATCTGAAGACCAATGTACTGCTGAAGAGAATAATTCAGTCAACAATCAAAATCATTTACTCACCCATACATCTTCCTGAACCTGCACGACTTCCTTTCTTCTGCAGAGCAGTAATGTATATTTTGAAGACACTTTTTCTTAGTGACCAGAATGAAGAATATGAAGTCTTTTCATTCTCTTCCTTTAAGAGACTTTCTTATCTAGAAACGAAAATGATAACACTTTAATGTAAGAAAGCATTTTGTGTACACATACATTTGTAATATTGAGTATACAGTACTGAATTCATCACAAGCAGCACTGGTGTTCTCTGTGAACACCGATATTTATCTTGCAGAACGCTGGTGGAGACCAGGGCATTTATGAAAATGAGTCTGATCTTGATCAAATTTCATCTCGATCAGGACAGGGTATGTACACAACACACAACACCATCCATATATGCATATCCTTGTGAGGACTTCTTGTTCCCACTGTTTGTAATGGTTTGTACCTTAACAGTAGAATTTAGACATTATTTACTCTGAATGTACGAAATGTTTTTCATGTGTGAGAGGAATCCCACCATGTTTTGGCATGGTTTTACTCGTCTTTTCAAGAAATGCATCACCATAAGTTGGCATTGCTAAGATGATGTGTTGGTGATATGCAGCCAGGCTTTTGATTTGTCTCATTTTTTCCCAGTGAGATTCTTTTCTGAAGATGACAAGACTCCTTTGCACAGGAACTTCTAAGAGGAACCATATGAAGTCAGATAAATGTTCAAGAAATTACACTGACCCCTAAAATACCACCAACATCTCCAGCAGATGTAATTAACACTGAGCTCCTTTAGACACTTCAACATATTCCTAAGCAGTGTTGGGGGTAACGCATTAGAAGTAACGCGAGTTACGTAATCAGATTACTTTTTTCAAGTAACTAGTAAAGTAATGCATTACTTTTTAATTTACAAGAGAATATCTGAGTTACTTTTTCAAATAAGTTATTTTCTTTTCAATTTATTGATTGACGGCTCTCCTGTCCCCATGTTGAGAGAAATCAGATGTTACTGTAGTTCTAAAATAGATATGAATATGCATTCATTCATCTCACTCACAAAAAAACAATAACACACAGATTCAGTATTCCTCAAAATGAATAAAAATAATGCAATATGACGCAAACCTGCAATAATTAAATGTTAAACAACACAAATATGCTTTATGTATTTAATCCCATTCTATTAAGCAATGTCTTTGCTTCTGACCTTCGATGATCCAGTTCAACCGTACTAATAAGCACAAATTACTCTAGACGAACATTTGTGTGTCTTTGTTTATTGCTGAAGTGTTGAAATGTCTTCTTCTGTATTCTACTGTACAGACGTAAATTTACATTTCCTTCGGCCCGATGCTTATTCATTTCACTTTTGGTGTGAAAAGGCTTTTACATTTGCCAAAAATAGAACTTTTTTATTTTAAAATCAAACAAGCAAGCCCTGTGCAAATTTTAAAAGTAATGCAAAAGTAACGTAACGCATTACTTTCCATAAAAAGTAACTAAGTAACGTAATTAGTTACTTTTTTTATGGAGTAACGCAATATTGTAATGCATTACTTTTAAAAGTAACTTTCCCCAACACTGTTCCTAAGAACATAAAAAAACATAATTATTAAAAAAGGTGATATTTAAGAATCTGAAAGATCTGTAAACAAACATGTATGTTTTTTGTTGGTATAAGGCAGTTGTTTCTAATTTTTTTATGGAGTAACGCAATATTGTAATGCATTACTTTTAAAAGTAACTTTCCCCAACACTGTTCCTAAGAACATAAAAAAACATAATTATTAAAAAAAGGTGATATTTAAGAATCTGAAAGATCTGTAAACAAACATGTATGTTTTTTGTTGGTATAAGGCAGTTGTTTCTAACTCAATCACATGACTTTTTTATCCTGCTGACAGCTAGCATTGGTTTACAGTAGGCGTGTGTAACCTCACATAAGCATGCAATATATGTACTTTAATTGCTATAATTCTATTGCAAAACCATTCAAATCATTAATACTGAGGTGGGCTACTGAGTAATATTGTACATTACATTTGAAGTAGCTACTTTTTTAATGTGGGAATGACAAAAACATTTAGCTAACTGAACATCTTCTTAACATTAGATTAAGTGGAAACTAACTTAATACTGTATTTTGTATATAATGCATATTTTTCCCCAAATAAATACAATAATTGGTGCCGTGAGAGATATATGAAGTGTATTTTGTTCATGGTTGTGTTAATGGAGTGCTAACTTTAACTGTGAACCTCTTGTCACCTCACCTGAATAACGTGTTCGTACATTGCAGGAAGCAGTTTTATCATCTGACTGCGGAGTACACACATTAATATAGTTTATTGTTCATATATATCTTTCTGTTAATCTTATACAATTGGTAAAGTATGGCTACGGTACCCCACTTTCGGTGAAGTATAAGGTAGGTGTATAAGTTAGTACTTCACTGAAGCTGATGAATGCGCGTCTTAAGACTTTTAGAACCGCACAACTGATTCAGTTGAATGAACCAATGCAAGTGTATTTTGTTCATGGTTGTGTTAATGGAGTGCTAACTTTAACTGTGAACCTCTTGTCACCTCACCTGAATAACGTGTTCGTACATTGCAGGAAGCAGTTTTATCATCTGACTGCGGAGTACACACATTAATATAGTTTATTGTTCATATATATCTTTCTGTTAATCTTATACAATTGGTAAAGTATGGCTACGGTACCCCACTTTCGGTGAAGTATAAGGTAGGTGTATAAGTTAGTACTTCACTGAAGCTGATGAATGCGCGTCTTAAGACTTTTAGAACCGCACAACTGATTCAGTTGAATGGACGAGTCATTTATGATTCATACCGGCTGATAAGATAAACAATTAAAAAGACCAATTTTTCCTGATAGGTCTGGGGAAAAGGGGATTCAAGTCTCTGATTCATTGCATCAGTAGATGGCGGTAATGCTCAATTTGTGATTGTGAGCCGTGAATAAAAAAAAACGAGTAAGAAGAAGAAGAAAAGACCAATTTTTTCCCATTTGGAACCATTCCCATTTGCTTTGTCCGCCAGAGATATACAAACATGAATGAAATTCCTGAAACATGACCCCACTATTAGTGGTAGTTTCACTGCTTCATCAATAAAATAACGTCGTTACTGAAAAGCTGCATGAACCTTTTGGAAGGATTCGAAACGCTACACGCTGGGGACGCCTATCAAAAACTCAACAAAACATGCATAAAAACAGCTTTTAAAACCCACTGCATATGTTTCATTGAAAATATAATATATTAAATGCAATTAAAATGACATGCCTGTTATGTGATCTTTTATTAATTTGCAGGGCTTGTTTTGTTTGTTTTATGGAGGCTTGTCTAAACGTGCCAATAAGAGACTATTAACTACTGGGTCATTCCACGAAATCGGTGCCTTTTCCACTGGGACAAAATTGAAAAATAAAATAAGTTGAATCAATATTTTTTTTAATATCCATGAAATGGAGACACCTTAAAATGACAAGAAATTGTATTGTGCCATTTCAGGCTATGTAATTGATTATTTTATGACTATTTTTCTACCTCATGTTTTGGTATTTTTGTCAACCCTGTTACCGACACAAGCGTTACTATATACTATAGTTTAATTAGAACACATATGCCACTGAATGATATAAGCATATTAGCTCAATAATATACCGAGGGTGACCTTTAAAATGTTCAAATTTTACACAGACAATCTTTAAAAACAAGGTCAAACCTAATCAATATCATCCCTGTTACCCACATGTCAAAACATGTTACTCTAAAAAGTAACAGACTGATAGTAACAGGTTTGACGATTTCAAACAAATTTGCTAATTGATAGCCAACAGTCAAGTTCACAAAAGCACATATTGCACACTTTGAAAGAATTTTACTTATAGGTATTGATTATATTAAATGTAAGAAACAATTGTTTAAATTTACATTTTAAAAATGGTAACAGGATAGTCATTGCATGATGCGTTTTTGTAAGAAAAATATCCATATTCAAAACGTAATAATCACTTTAATGTAGCTTGCGCTCAGTGTTGTACACAGGAAGCAGCTCCGGGAGCATGACGTATGAGTTCAGCTTTGTGCATGCGCTGCTCAGAAGTGACGCACACGGAAACGCAGCGGAGAGATCAAAACAAAACAATGGTCACTTATTAGAAGTACAAAACGAGGATTTGTAAAGAAGAAAGTCGGAGGATTTCGGTACAAGCCAAGAAGAGACTGGTTTTCCTTTGCTAAAGTAAGGAAACTTTGCTTCCTTTGCTCCTGTTAACAAACGTTGGTTTTCACGAGACTCACCGGCGCATGCGCAACGCTGACCTCATACGTCATCCTCCCGGAGCTGCTTCTGTGTACAACTGCTGGCACAAGCTAGATTAAAGTGATTATTATGATTTGAATTTGGATATTTTTCTTACAAAAACGCATGGATTCGCTACAGGAGGCCTTTGTTCTCCCCCCAGAGCCGTGTGAGACACACGTTTTTTAATGGATGAGCACTTTTTATTTAACTTCTTTTGGACTGATGCAATGAAACACCCGCTGAGTGGCATTAAACAGCTTGAAAGATCAAAGACAATTTTTTATATAACTCCGACTGGATTCGTCTGAAAGAAGAAAGTCATATACATCTAGGATGACTTGAGGGTGAGTAATTTATGGGCTAATTTTCATTTTTGGGTGAACTAACCCTTTAAGACTGGTTTTGTGTTCCAGGGTCACAAATTGAACATTATAGAAGCGAGAAAGAAACACGCTTGTGTTTTAAGTGTAGGAATGCTGGTTGACAGATGATGTAACCTCCTAGAAGTGATGCCACTTGAATGTACATTATTTTACAAGGGTTTTTTGATGAGGGTAACAGGGCTGACATGAAATCAGGGGACACCAATAAAATTATTTATATAATATAGAAAAATGCATACTTATGCCAAAAACAATGCATAACAATGAGACTATATTTAGAATAATATGCAAATGTGATTTTGATATCATATTGCCTTCAATTTGCAAATTAAATGTCCTGCTGAAAAAGAAAAATCACAGGCCAAAAACCTTACCCTTATCAGCATAAATGCTTAAATTATTTCAAATAATATTTAATTGACTTTTTTGTATGTAATATTGATGAAAGCACACATAGTATTGTTATGCTTTTAAATTGCACATTTATTTGTTGTTATATTAAATCTATGTTTGATTATTTCTTAAGCCCGGCTCACACTGTGCGATTTTGGCCACGATTTGGTCGTCTGAGACAAATTTAGAAAATCCTAAAAGATGCTAGGTTAAAATCTGTAGTCTTTGATCGCTGGTTTGACATGTTCACCGACGGCCGATTAATGGCCGTTGCGATTACATTTTACCTCCGACGAAATTCTGGCAGGACTTAAAGGGATAGTTCACCCAAAAAATGAAAATGTTGTCATTAATTATGATAGTTCACCCAAAAAATTAAAATTCTGTCATTAATTATTCACCCTCGTGTCGCTCCAAACCCGCAAGACCTTCGTTCATCTTCGGAACACAAATTAAGATATTTTTGATTTGTTCAGATCAAAGCGTAAACAACATAGAAAACGTATCCACGTGACGCAGCTGACACAGAACAGCATACGCTGTTTACATTCAGTGGATACTCTCTAAAATGGCGCCAGGGGGACGCGGAGGAGACGAATTGTTGAATAAAGTCGTTTTCTTTCGTGCACAAAAATATTCTCGTAGCTTCGTAATATTACGGTTGAACCCCTGATGTCACATGGACTACTTTACCGATCTCCTTGCTACGTTTCTGAGCCTTGATCGTGGTAGTTACCTTGCTGTCTATGCAGGGTCAGACACTCTCAGATTCCATCCAAAATATCTTAATTTGTGTTCCGAAGATGAACGAAGATCTTACGGGTTTGGAGCGACACGAGGGCGAGTAATTAATGACAGAATTTTAATTTTTGTGTGAACTATCCTTTTAAAAATCGCACAGTGTGAGCCCGCTGAAATCACGTGACTTTGGCAGTTGATACACGCTTGTTCGAAACAAACAATTCTCAAAGGTTTCGAAGCTTCGCGAAGCAGGACTTTGAAAACAGCCATCACTAGAAAATAGCTTCGTTGCTTTTAGCGACGCTACTACCCTTTATTGTTTGTTCAATAAGTGGCCGAAGGCCCGAAGCTTATTTTCCGATTATGACACGCTGATCGTATCCACTTTTTCTTGTTAAATTCTATGCGTCTGGCTTCCGGTCTCATCTGCGTCCACTCCGTCCAGCTCATTTTAGCTGAACAAAACAGTTCGTTTTGCTGCTTGATATTGAAAGTTTGTGTGTCTTGTCATATTATTTTAATGTATTATCTTAATTATGAACACACTGGTTTGTAGTGCAAACAGTTTTACCTTTTACTGCACGTTATTTAGCTATGCAATGAACCGGAAGTCTCACCCATAGGCTTACTCCCGCGTTGAGGACAAAGGTGGAAATGATCCCTTATGCAGTTGATCTCCAGAGCGGCAGATGGCAGCAGAGAGTCGACCTAGTGATCACTGACTTCAGAGCAGAGACGGAGAGAGACACAAACACAAACACAACGACTGAGAGGACTCAAACCGCGGCAGCGCTGATATCTGTGCGTCTGCACAGCTTAAAGGTAAGCGATGCTCTGTCAGCCTCACGAGCTTCACCTCAGACTCACAAGTAATCAAAATTTAACCTTTCCAAACCCAAGCTCATTGAAAGTATATTTTCCTAATGCATGCCGGTAGTTTGACAGCGTGTAACGTTACAGTTGAATAAAGTTGCTACAGTCAGCTGAACATATAATAGACTGGGCTGAACCAGACAAGTTGTTTATTATATATATATATAGAGAGAGAGAGAGAAAGAGAGAAAGAGAGAGAAAATTATATTATATATTAAAATAAAAAATTATGACAGCTTCACAAACAAAAGTGGGAAAGCCTACTACAGCTCTGTCAATCACTGGGCCTGTACATAGTGCACGGTCGCATTTTGGTTGTAATACCTTTAATTCTTTCCTTGGTAACAGTACTGTAGATTATTTCATCACAGACATTGATCAAGTGCATCTCAGAGCATTCACAGTCAGTCCTCAAACACCTCTGTCAGACCACTGTAAGATTACACCATCTAAAACCAGCTCAAAACTATCAAATATGCAGACAGCCCTCTCAGTTACTAAAGCTGCATCAATCCTACAAATGGACAAAAACAGCAAAGAGTAAACTATCAAAGTGCAATAGAAAGTCAAACTATCAAATCACTATTGGACAAATTTATAATTAACACATCCACAAAATAAAGTAGGCATAAATCTGGCACTAGAGGACATTACAGGATATATTTCACCAATCAGCATCCATGTGCAATTTGAAAAAAATCATCAAAAAGAAAACCAAAGAACACCAATGAAAAGTGGTTTGACGGTGAGTGTAAAAGAATTAGAACGACAGTACGAAATCTTTCAAATAAAATACACAGAGATCCTGACAACCAAGAACGCCGTCTTCAATATCACGAAGCTCTTAAAGTGTACAAGCAAACTCTAAAAGCAAAAGAGGAAGAGCATACAGAACAATTATTTCAAACAATGGAGGAATCAATAAATACCAATAACTTTTGGAGCAATTGGAACACTCTCTATAGACCACAAAAGGAAGAACTGGCCGTTCAGAATGAGAGCATATGGAGGACACGCTTTGAAAATCTGTACAAAACAACTGAAACAAATCCTGCTCGGAATGAAATAAAAACCTAATTAAAGACCATCAGAATCCCCTGGATTTCCCAGTCACAGTGAATGAGCTAACAGACAGACTACATGCACTAAAACCCAACAAAGCATGCGGCATCGGCGGGATATTAAACGAAATGATCAAACACACAAATGATCAATTCAAAACTGCAATAACTAAATTATTCAACATTGTTTTGAGTGTAGGATATTTTCCAGACACCTGGAATAAAGATCTAATTACACCCATCTTTAAACAAGGAGACAAGTTTGAGCCAAGCAATTACAGAGGCATATGTGTCAATAGCAACCTGGGGAAAATATTCTGTTCGATTATTAACACAAGATTACTAAACTAAACAAATTGGATTCCTGCCCAAACACAGAACATCGGACCACATTTATACCCTCCACACGATCATTGATAAACATGTACACCAAAACTAAACCAAAATCTTTGCTTGCTTTATCGACTTTGAAAAAGCTTTTGATTCAATCTGGCATGAAGGACTCTTTCTAAAGCTACTGGAAAATGGGATTGGAGGGAAAACTTTTGATTTAATCAGCACCATGTATAAAAACAATACATGTGCTGTAAAAATAGGGAATAATCGAACAGGATTTTTCTCTCAACAACGAGGAGTTAGACGAGGCTGCCCATTGAGCCCCACTCTGTTTAACATTTATATAAATGAATTAGCCAAAGAATTAAACAATTCGACTGCCCCCGGCCCGACCCTAACTGAATCAGAAATCAAATGTCTCCTCTATGCAGATGATTTAGTCATTCTGTCAAAAACAAAAGAGGGACTACAACAGCTCCTCGACATCATAAGGCGCGTTTCCATTACACTTCAAATTGCGCAAATTGAAACTGCGAATTGAAAATACGCCTAATGGAAACGCGTCAATTTTGATAAAACGGCCATATATCGCAAAAAAGTTTTTACGCTCGCATGAGGTGGTTTTTCAGGCAATGCGAAAAAGGAATAATTCGCAAAACTGCAATGGAAACGGCTTTTTCGCATTTACAGGTCACATGGCGTATGTAAAAAGTCATATGATCATTCTTCAATGTACTATAACCTCCAAGAAACACTTCATAAGTGGCCGTGCTCCAGTATAAGGGGCTTTCCCTACTATTAATACTTAAGACAATTTACCCCGCACACGTCTGCGGTGCAGTGTGGCTCTGATACGGTCACTGAAGCTGATTGCGGCCACTCAATGCTTGTGTTTATGTTTTTATACAGTCTGTGGTTTATTCCAGCCGCGCCACGCACGTTTCTGAAGCGGCCCCCTTTGCTGCTTCTGTAAAGATACACGCATAAGCCTCCTTTGAATAAATATAGCCCAAATCCCACCAAAATCCATTGCCATGACTTCTCGCGAGAGGCAAAAGGTTACGTTTAAGTCTCATAACATTGGTTAATGGAAACGCCGTCATTTCACAATACTCTTTTATCGACATTCAGAAAATATCGCCAAAGTTTTGCGCAAATCTGTAATGGAAACGCACCTATACAGACATTGTCAAACATGGGCTCTTAAAATCAATCTAGCAAAAACAAAATAATGATTTTTCAAAAGAGACCCAGGTGTAAGGAAAATAAACACACATTCAGAGCGGGAAACCAGGTCCTCCAACACACCCATGAATACAGCTATCTGGGACTAAAAATCGGCTCAACAGGGAACTTCAATCTGGCTGTGAATGAACTGAAAGCAAAGGCACTGGGAGTCTTCTACATGATCAAAAATACAATTCAATTTGAAATTCCAATTCAAACCTGGCTAAAAATCCTAAAACAATCATCGAACCAATCGCTCTTTATGGCAGTGAGATATGGGGACCCCTAAAAACCCAAGATTTCTCCAAATGGGAAAAAGAAGAAATTGAAATTATGCATACCCAAATTTGTAAAAGCATCTTAGAAGTTAACAGAGCAGCCCCAAACAACTTGTGCAGAGCTTAATTAGGACAATACCCATTATTAGTATTCAAAAGAGAGCTGTGAAACTCCACCAGCACCTGAGACGCAGTGACACAAGCTCTTACCAGACCGAAGCCCTGCAGTGGCAGGAGCAAAACCTGCAGAAGAGTGCCCTTTTACAGCTGGTGCTCAAACTACACCCAAACCAGCACAGCACAATCCGGCCCAACCACATCACACAGCTACAAAAACACAATTACATTGCTTACTGGAAAGATGCCACTAAATTACAAAAGAAGATGGAGCTGTATTTAGACCTGAAAAGGGACTACAAACCAGCAGAATACCTGAGCTGTGTAAAAGATCACAAATTAAGAAAGACACTAAGAAAATACAGACTGAGTGCTCACTGTCTGGCTATAGAGAGAGGACGACACAGACAGAGATGGAGCCGCGAGAACAGAGACTGTGTTCACTGTGCTCACAGAAAGAGCTGGAAACAGAGGAACATTTCTTACTGCACTGTGATTACTATCACAACATTAGAGCTGCATATTTCCCCAAATTCCTACAAATTAAACCACATTTTATGGCATTATCAAATACAGAAAAATTAAGTAACATTTTAGGGGAAGATTCCAAAATGATCCCAACAGCAGCACGATATGTATCAGTCTGTCACAAACTAAGACTGTCAGCCAGTGGACAAAACTGAAGCAAGAGCATTTCTTACATGTACTGTTGTGCAATTTATTTTTATTTATTTATTTATTTTTTAATTTCTTTTTAACAATGTCTTTAATATTTTTCTTGTTTGTGGGAAAAAAAAGAAAGAAAGTACACGTACTTATTTACTTAATTATTTTACATATCGTTGTTTTGTTTTGTTTATGTATTATATAATTGTTTATTCCTTATTCATGTAATGGACAATGCTTTGGCAATACTGTGCAAGTCATGCCAATAAAGCTCATTTGAATTTGAGGGAGAGAGAGAGAGAAATAGAGAGATTTCGAAAAAAAACTTTATTACAACAATATTAACACATTATCCAGACAATCAAGTCAATTTACAGGCAATTAAGCAAAAATTGGGCCAGAAACCTCACACAAAGCTCCACCATTACACCAGATCAAGTCAAAAGAAAGAAGATCATCCATAGCTTTAAAATAACGAAAATCAATGAGAATTCTAGATTTGACTGAATTAAAAAAAACTGCCAATAAACTATACCTCGTGTTTCGTTCAATTTTGTGTTTCCTAGTACCACAGAGAGCCATTTTAGCTTGACCTAATAACAAATTCAAAACTGACATTTAAATCGTTTTCTCTGAACATATTTAAACCCACAAATAAAAATCCTAATAGAAAAAGTCTCACCAAAACCCAAAAATAAATTCTGTAAAACGGTAAACAAAGGCTCAAGTCTAGAACATTGCATAAATGCGTGAAATACAGTTTCTCTCTGCAGACAGAAGGAGAGAGAGAGAGAGTGCTGGTTGCTTTACAGGTTGGTTATTTTAGGTAATGTATTCTGACTACTTTTGGATTACTTGTATACAGTGTTGGGAAGGTTACTTTGGAAATGTAATAGGTTACAGATTACATATATTACCCTACTTAAAATGTAATAAGTAGTGTAACTATTTCAATTAATTTATTAAAGTAATGCAACTGATTACATTTGATTACTTTTATACATTTCTATAATCACATTAACATTTAAAGCAGGCAGGGTTAACCTTACAGCAGTACTCAAGACTGATTACTGTCAGACTTTCAGAATCCTTCATCGCTTGAATTAAGATTATAGTAATTGCATTTTAAAGCACAGCCACCACAAAATCAGACTCTTCTTACTCTGAGATCGAGGTTAAATACAGATTTAAAATCATAACAAGAAATCGTTTAATAGCTATGATACTGTTTGGAAAAAAAACTGTTAATCTTAAAAAATAAAGCATATATACATAAAACGGGTATCGAATAAGCATGTGTCCTATTCTGTTTCCTAAACTCCTGAAACATGTGTCTCATATATATTTTAGAGCAGTCAGTGCATTTTGGGAAAGAAATCAATTAAATCTGTATGTGTGTGAAAAATTCAGATGTAACCCCCCTTTGTAATCGTTAACATTTTCAGAAGTAACTATAATGTCATTTCACTTTTGTTCTCAGTAACTGATTACAATTACATTTATTTTGGGTAACACTTTATTTTAAGGTGTCCTTGTTACACATGTTACATGTTCTTACTATTATAATAACAATACATTAATTACATGCAAGTAACCCTAAGCCAAACCCTAAACATATAGTAAGTACATGTAGTTAATTAATATTACTCGGCTCTTAAATGTATAATTACACTGTAACAAGGACACCTTAAAATGTAATTCTGTTACATGTAAGTAGTTACTCCCCAACACTGCTTGTATATATGCACTCACTGGTGTTCATCTGTCTGTAGTTGCTGGTATCAGGCTGGAGTTGGTTTGTGTTTCTCATGGGTGCATCTGTTTGCCGGCACGGCCACTCGCTCCTGTCCCGTCACAGCAGGCCTGGTCACAAGGGCTCTCTGATTGGTGGGGATGACTCTCTAGACGGTCTGGACAGACAGGAGGACATCGCCCAGTTCCCATATGTGGAGTTCACAGGCCGAGATAGCATCACCTGTCCTACCTGCCAGGGGTCCGGACGCATCCCATCAGGTGCGGATGTTAAAAAACACACATCTTACATTTGAGTGTAATGAAAGTAAGGATCTCGTGAAAGCATGTCCAGGTCACATTTCAACTTGAAAACCAGATGAAATAAGTTTTATGCACGAAGTCAATGATCCAAGTGTTATAATGACTTTTATTATAATCACTCAATATTAGGAAAAACTTTTACACCGTGACAGATTTTTTTTCCCCCAAAATTTTTTGTAATGCATCTGCACAATTTATTCTATTGTTATTATTATTAGTGATTATTATTAGTGCTGTCAAATGATTAATCGCAATTAATCGCATCCAAAATAAAGGTTTTTATTTACATAATATATGTGTGTACTCAATATATGTATTATGTGTTACAGCTCCCTGTAAGCAGTAATCAACTTAGCAGTAAATGAGAGAGACAAGAGTTAGTGATTGCTTTCACGGTCCTCTTTGTTGTCTTTTAATACACATACACATTTGTATTTCAAAGTCAGTAAGACACTTTGAATCACAAAAGTTATTAGTGTCTCAGGTATGTAGTTCAAGTAAATAATACACATACATTACTCAGGTGAATACATGAATAAACTTCTATATGACATAAGCATCTTAAAATTATTAATAAAATAAATAATCAGTTGAAACAAATTATTTGTACATTAAAGCATGCAAATTACAGTTTGATATAACATTTAATTAATTTAACTAACCTTAGCAGTAAATGAGAGAGACAAGAGTTAGTGGTTGCTTTCACAGTTCTCGGTAAATGTATTTGTAAATATTAATATATATATCTCACAGAAGTGAGTACACCCCTCACATTTTTGTAAATGTTTTATTATATCTTGACAACACTGAAGAAATGACACTTTGCTACAATGTAAAGTAGTGAGTGTACAGCTTGTATAACAGTGTAAATTTGCTGTCCCCTCAAAATAACTCAACACACAGCCATTAATGTCTAAACCGCTGGCCACAAAAGTGAGTACACCCCTAAGTGAAAATGTCCAAATTGGGCCCAAAGTGTCAATATTTTGTGTGGCCACCATTATTTTCCAGCACTGCCTTAACCCTCTTGGGCATGGAGTTCACCAGAGCTTCACAGGTTGCCACTGGAGTCCTCTTCCACTCCTCCATGACGACATCACGGAGCTGGTGGATGTTAGAGACCTTGAGATGCTCAATAGGGTTTAGGTCTGGAGACATGCTTGGCCAATCCATCACCTTTACCCTCAGCTTCTTTAGCAAGGCAGTGGTCATCTTGGAGGTGTGTTTGGGGTCGTTATCATGTTGGAATACTGCCCTCCGGCTCAGTCTCCGAAGGGAGGGGATCATGCTCTGCTTCAGTATGTCACCGTACATGTTGGCATTCATGGTTCATGTTGACAGCCATGCAGACCAATTTAATGCAGTGTGTGAGGTATGGTCTGAGCACTGACAGGCTGACCCCCCACCCCTTCAGCCTCTGCAGCAATGCTGGCAGCACTCATATGTCTATTTCCCAAACACAACCTCTGGATATGATGCTGAGCACGTGCACTCAACTTCTTTGGTCGACCATGGCGAGGCCTGTTCTGAGTGGAACCTGTCCTGTTAAACCGCTGTATGGTCTTGGCCACCGTGCTGCAGCTCAGTTTCAGGGTCTTGGCAATCTTCTTATAGCCTACGCCATCTTTATGTAGAGCAACAATTCTTTTTTTCAGATCCTCAGAGAGTTCTTTGCCATGAGGTGCCATGTTGAACTTCCAGTGACCAGTATGAGAGAGTGAGAGCGATAACACCAAATTTAACACGCCTGCTCCCCATTCACACCTGAGACCTTGTAGCACTAACGAGTCACATGGAGAGAAAATGGCTAATTAGGCCCAATTTGGACATTTTAACTTAGGGGTGTACTCACTTTTGTGGCCAGCGGTTTAGACATTAATGGCTGTGTGTTGAGTTATTTTGAGGGGACAGCAAATTTACACTGTTATACAAGCTGTACACTCACTACTTTACATTGTAGCAAAGTGTCATTTCTTCAGTGTTATCACATGAAAAGATATAATAAAATATTTACAAAAATGTGAGGGGTGTGTATATATATATATACTCTGTGTGTGTATTTATATATACATAATAAATATACACATACACATATTATGTAAACAAAAACTTTTATTTTGGATGCGATTAATCGTTTGACAGCACTAATTATTATATTTACGTTGTATTTCCCATTAATGTCAGTGGTAATTCTTGATGAATTCTCATTTCTGAAGAACTAGGTTCCTTGCTTTAGTGAAGGGATATCCAAATATTAAAGTCTTTACTTTTCTGAAACAATTTTACACAATGATCACCTCCATTATAAGGTGTTGTGTAAAAGCAACCAGTCACTAGATAATCTGTGCTATTGATTGAGGTCATGAGGTTGTGTAGATGACCACATGCACTTTGGTGTGATTCTACATGTTATCTGAACTTCTGATTGAATCAATTTATTTTTCTCTCTCTTGCAGGGCAGATGAATGAGTTAGTTGCTCTGATCCCCTACAGCGATCAAAGGTTACAGCCAAGGAGAACGTAAGTTATCACACACAGGTCATTTTCTATTGGAAACAGTCTTGATGTTCATTTTCGATGTTTGTAATCGGGATAGTTCACCTAAAAATGAAAATTGTCATCTGCACACCATCAAGTTGTTCCAAACCGGAATGTGAGTTTCTGTTGAAAACAAAAGAAGATATTTTCAAATCAAAGAGTTGACTTCCATAGTATGGAAACAAAATATTATGGAAGTCATTGGGGACCAGAAAGTGTTTGGTTACCCACATTATTCAAAATATTTTGTGTGTGTGTGTGTCTTCAGCAGAAGAAAGAAACTCATACAGGTTTGGAACAACTGGATGGTGAGCAAATGATGACTTTCTTTTTCATTTTCAAGTGAACTGTGAATTCTTCTCTTGGCAGGAAGTTATATGTGGTGCTGTCAGTGATTTTGTGTCTACTGGCGTCTTTTTTGGTGGCGTTCTTCCTGTTTCCACGTCCTGTGCTGGTTGTTGATGATGGCATTCGCTCTGTGACTGTGCATTTTGACCGTAACAACAGCAAAGTGATCATCAACATGACGGTGATTTCTGTTACATGTCTTTTTTTCGTTTTTATGATGGATTAATTAATAATTTAAAAAACTGGTTTAAATTGTCCGGAGGCCTTTCTTTTCAAGCCTTGTTGTTTGGAAATAACATGGAATTAAAACTGTCCCTGTTCATAAAATTATATTCATATGTAATAACTTATGTAATGAATCGTGTAATATGCTGGGGTAGAGTTCACAATGCAGCTTCAGTCTAGAATTGTTAAATTGGATATCAAAACATTTTATGTGCAAAAAAACTAAGCTCTGATATTATTGGTTTCCAGTTAGACAAATAATTTAAAGAAACACAAATTTTGGCTTTGAACTGTACTGAATGCTGGTTGTTTTTGCTTTTTGTTTTGTTTTGTTTTTGCTTTGCTTTTGTTTTTGTTTTTGTTTTGTTTTGCTTTGCTTTGCTTTGCTTTTGTTTTTGCTTTGCTTTTGTTTTTGTTTTTGCTTTGCTTTGCTTTGCTTTGTTTTGCTTTGCAACAGCTAGACAACATCATCCACATTCAACCTCTCAGCCAGAGACAGGTGTGATGAGTGATGAGCACAACATCTGTTTTCTACTGTTCAAAAGTTGATGCTCGGTCAGATTTTTGAAAGAACTCTCTTCTGCTCACCAAGGCTGCATTTATTTGATCAAAAATACAGTAAAAATAGTATGTTATCATATTATTATAACAAATTGAATAGAATTTAATATTTTTTTATGTGTATTTTGAATATATATTAAAATGGAATTTATTTCTGTGATCAAAACTGAATTTTCAGCAGCATTACTCCAGTCTTCAGTGTCACATGATCCTTCAGAAACTTATTCTAATATGCTGATTTGCTGCTCAAGAAACATTTATTATTATTATTATTATTAATATTGAAAACATTAATACAGTTTTTCAGGATTTTTTGAATAGAAGGTTTAAAGGAATAGTCCACGCAAAAAAAAAATTCTCAGCCTCATGCTATTCAAGATGAGTTTGTTTCTTCATCTGAACAGATTTGGAGAAATTTAACATCACTTGCTCAGCAATGGATGCTCTGCAGTGAATGGGTGCCGTCAGAAGGAGAGTCCAAACAGCTGATAAAAACACCACTATAATCCACAAGTAATCCACACCACTCTAGTCCATCAGTTAATATGTTCATGTGCTTTTCATTAACGAGATATTAACTGATGGACTGGAGTGGTGTGGATTATTGTGGTGTTTTTATCAGCTGTTTGGACGGCACCCATTCACTGCAGAGCATCCATTGCTGAGACAGTGACGGAATGCTACATTTCTCCAAATCTGTTTCTACGAAGAAACAAACTCATCTACATCTTGGATGGCCTGAGGGTGAGTAAATTTCAGCTTTACATTTCAAAAGGACCTCAGACTTTTGAACACTATAGACCAGGGGTGCCCAAACTCGGTCCTGGAGGGCCGATGTCCTGCAGAGTTTAGCTCCAACTTGCCTCAACACACCTGCCTTCAAGATTCTAGTATGTTGTCTAGTAAGAGCTTGATTAGTTGGTTCAGGTGTGTTTAATTGGGGTTGGAGCTAAACTCTTCAGGACACCGGCCCTCCAGGACAGAGTTTGGGCACCCCTGCTATAGACAATCCTTAAGTGGGAGAAATGACACAGACACCGAATGTTAAACGTTGGATAGTAGTTGTGCTGTTGCTTTTTAATGCAGGTCAACTTCACTGTCAGTATGGAGATTGGAGGAAGTCTCTCTTACGTTTAGTGAGTATCAAATCAGTTCTCTTTGGATGAACAAGCTGATCCTCATGAATCTGTGTATCTGATCTTCTGTTTTTGAAATATTTTCGCTGTTTTCTCAGTGCCTTCTGCACCATGGCAAGCATCAAGGTCCACAACATTGTGGTGTTTATGCAGTAAGTTTTTCATCACTACGTTTTCACATCCTCTTTTGTCTTCTGCTGTTGTTCTACATTTGAAAGTTGGAGGTGAAGTGAAGCATAAAGGTACAACTCCAGATTGCATGGATTTCTCCTGAAATAATTGTCGAGCAACACTAAATGTGGTCCTTAAGAACAGCTTTGCCGCCGAGAAACAACTTTTTTGAGTATGTAGAGTGTTATTCTAAGTTCTTCGTGAAATGGTCCTGACCACTTCTCTTACACACCCCAGGACCTCTGTGAAAACCTCCTACATGGTGCGGGCGGCACAGAACACACTGGAAGCTTACCGCTACATAGACTGTGGCGCCAACTCCACCATCCACCAGCCCTCAGGACTGGTTTGGTCTAAACCTCACTTCCCTCAGAATGGGAAACTGCTCAGGTGAAGCATCGGCCGGCGGACACTTATCATCATACGGTTTGATTCTCCACGGCAGCTCAGTTTCATCAATTTTGACTCCAGATTTTGTGCTGCACTGAAACTGAACCCATTGAACAGAGCAGCTGTGATGTAAGATATTGCTTGAATTGTTTTCTCAGCACAGATAATGATGGTGTGATAAAAAACAGAGCTCTCCGTTTAAAGTCTTTGCCATCTCAAGAGCTGTAATGTTAATCTATAGTCTAATAAGGGTGTTATATAATTTTGCAGTGATTTATAAAAAATTAGATTTAATGAATGGATTGTCAATGATGAGGTGCACTTTAAAATACTTTGTTTTGATGTATGAGCTGTTCTGTAAAATATTTGATACATTCTTGATTAAGTCTCATGCAAATGTCTCTAATTGTCTCTGCAATGCAAAGTCATTTCTCCGATCGATGGGTTTTGAAGTGACACATTCAGCAATATCAGTCAACTCAAATCCATCCATCAGTCACAAAGACGTAATTATCAGAACAAATGACATGCATAGACTAAAATCAGCATGCGTGTATGTTCTCATTGTTGTGAAGTGAAAAGTGTTCAGACTGCAGTGTGATACTGAGAATGAGGGAACTGTTACAAAACAGTGGTTAGCTTCTGTGATGCCATGAAAACTGAGATTGAGGACATTAGATGTACAATAGCAGGATGTTTTGTTCTCACTCAAACATTAGGGCTTTCACCAAGTTTTTAGACCAACGTATTAGACAGTCGACAACCATGAGAATCAAATGACTGGTTTAGACTCTGAAAAAAAAGGTACAAAAGCTATTCTTGGGTTGGTACCCTTTCAAAAGGTATTAATATAGGGATTAATATGTGCATGTTTGGTGCGAATATATAACTTTAAAGTACCAATATGCTTGTTTACATGTAAAAGAGGTGCAAAGGTGTACTTTTTGGAAAACAAATACCACCGCAGTGACAGCTTTTGTACCTTTTTTTTGTAGATGTTTAAGAAGGGCATTTGTTTCTAAGTGAAGTTGCACATTTGGATAATTTATTGCTATTTTTATATTTAATCTCCTTGAGATTTGATTGTGTTTTTCATTGTATGAACTGAGAAAAATAAGATGGTAATAAAAATGCAGAATGCAGTTTTTGTTGTGAGTTTGCAAAGAAAAATAAACTTTTTTTTTTTTTTTTGGTCAATACGTTTGTATTTTTGCATAGCCACCGTTTTCACAATTACCACATGCCATATTCGACATTTTGAATGTAAACCATCAGTTTCACTTCAGTAGGACAAATCTTTGCAAACTGCCTGACGTTTCTCTCTTTTTTTGGGGTTTTTTTTTTAGTGTAATTTAGTTGCATTAAAACCAAAGAACCATGACTGAAATGATGCAGCAACAAAAGCCCTGATGAAATCCATTTCACAAACCTGCAGCCACGCTGGAAACTCTCCAGAGACTCTTTGCACATGGATGGGGTTTAATAATTCATTCAGCACAGGCTATTCTATAGATATATCTTCTTTCTCATGCTCAAGTCAGTCGCATTATTGTCTCCAGTGCCCTGTATACCCTGCAGATTAATCTGCGCAGCATTTACATCTTGTTCTGGCATAGTTTTAGACCTAACAGCCAAACTATTGGTTGACACGTGTTAAGCTCAGATCCGACTGAAGTATTTAGCTCATCTGTTCTTAGCAGGCTTGTATCAGGAGGCAGTGCTGCTGGAATCACTCAAGGTATATTGTGATTTTTTTCCCCCCTCCATCTCTTGCTTTAACATGTCCGTTTGCTGTAATATTTGTTCTCATTTCCATCTATGATTTTGTTTTGCATGCAGAATGAGTGAAGCTGTGGTTAGCGGGGTGAGGAGGTTGAGCACCATTTCGGAGCAGGACGTGGATGCTGGAGCGGAGCCCGTGTCCCTCGTGTCCTCAGGGGACAGTGAGTGGGCAGGATCCAGTGCTTCGCTCTGCTCGCGTGGAAAACCCAGCATCCAGAGCAGCACCTTCACCTCCTTTGAGTCCTATCAGCCTGATGCTGCAGGTACATCTCCAAACATCTTCTCTGTTTGGATGTTAATGGTGTGTCCAGCATGTAGAAGTTGTCCTGGCTGCTAAAGACTCTGATCTGGGACAGTGTCCTTAAACTTAACTTTTAACTGCACTCTGCCTAATGCTGATTTATGTGTGTGTAAAACAACTGTGCTTGTGTTGGGTACCACTTAATGATAATTTGATAAATTCATAAAGAAAATAAATTGTTAAATCAATTAAAAACGGAAGACAAATAAGAATAGATAAAACAATTAATGTAACCATATTAATATTAATTAATTGTTAGTAATATTAAATAATATTTTAATAAAACATTGATACATAAGAAAAATTGATGATAAAGAAATAGATTAAATTAAAAAATGAATTTTTTTTTACAGTTTACAGGTGGACACCACATGTAATAGTTTTAAATTGTTATTCAATTATTATTTTTATTATTATTTAAATCATTATTCAATAATTAGCACAAATAGACCAGTTACATGTATGTATAAGTAATGGATAAAGTTTTATCTACACACCACTATTCAATAGTTAGGGTCAGTAAGATTTTCTTTCTTTCATTCATTCATTCAGAAGAAGAAGAAGAAGAAATGAATCATTGTATTCAGCAAGGATCCAAAGTGACAATAAAGACAACTGCATTTTTAAAAAAGATTATAAGAAAATAATAATAATGACTGCCGAAAATTCTGATTTGCATTGCAGAAATAAATTGTTTTAAAAATGAATAAAATAGTAAACAGTTATTTTAAATTGCAGTAATATTGTACTGTATTACTTTATTTACTGCATGTTGATCAAATAAATGCAGTATATTCAATTGTTTATTGTTTAAGTAAATCACTGACATTTCAGTGTTTAAAAAGAAGAGTGGTTTTATATATTCACTGAAAATAAATGTGATCTGTAACTCATGATATGGTTAACTTATGTTTTTACATTACTTATACTCATCAAAAGTCACAAGTTAAGGAATTTGAACCTTTTTATAAGTTATATGAGATTCAACTTAATTTTTCTTAAAGGGGTCATATGATGCTGCTAAAAAGAACAGTATTTTGTGTATTTGGTGTAATGAAATGTGTTTAAGCGGTTTAAGGTTCAAAAAACACATTATTTTCCACATACTGTACATTATTGTTTCTCCTCTATGCCCCGCCTTTCTGAAACACGTCGATTTTTACAAAGCTCATCGGTCTGAAAAGCGAGGTGTGCTGTGATTGGCCAACTATCCAGTGCGTTGTGATTGGTTGCATCGTGCCGCGTAAACATAAAACCATGTCTGCATTTGTGATCGGAGAAATGACAAACAACAAGTGCTACTCTACACTGCTCAAAACTCGCGTTTGAATCATCAGTGGCAAATCCTTTATATATAAAAAAAAACGTACTTACAGTCTGTGGAAAGAATATCTCTTTGGGTTTGAGACTTTAGTCTTTGCAACTTCAGGGATCTTATCTATGCACAAACAACTTGTAACACTCCAAAGAGAAAGGAAAACTTGAAATCGCATCATATGACCCCTTTAAGCAATATAATTTAGGAAATTACTTGCACAGTCAATTTGATTACTTAAAGCTGCAGTCCCTACCTTTTTTTGGCTGAAAATGATCCGAAATCAATATTTGAGCAAGTACATAATCAGCCAGTGTTCGAAACTATCGCCTTACTTTAGCCCGATTCACAACGGTAAGCTTATAATAATGCTTTCTAATTTGAGTGGTACAGGTAGGTATTCGTGGGAAATTCGAGCATGCTGCTGCGTCATTACGTCACGTCTGTAAACATAAAGAAGCTGTCCCGGCTACTAGGCTATCGCATGTGAGGATCCTGCAGGTGGCCGATCGTTTATAGCCTTTTCTCACAGCAGCTGGAATAATTAAATGTACCATTTTGATGGCGGATTGTAATCTAGAAAGGATTATGTGCTTATGAAACACATGTGAATGAAATTAAATTATATTCCAGTTTTAAATGTGCATCTGATTACAAATAGCCTGGGATTACACAAGAGTTGTATTTTAAAGAAAACCAGTTTAAATGGAGCAAAATTTGCTTTTTGGGTTAAAAGAATATCTTAATATGAAATTCTAATGGTATGACAATTAGAGATTAGACTACAGAAATTGAAATCTACTCGCTTATACACACTATATTCACATAGTCACGTAATGCCGATGTTGTTAACATTAACAATTTGAGAATAAAGTATAACAATAATACTAATTTGCACGGTTTGATGTGATATGAGCTAATTTAGATTGAATCGCCATTGGTAGAGTGATTTATTGTATGCTTTTTTTCCTCAGTTGGTCAGAACAAACGTGGCAGACTTGTTACTTACTTGTACAGATGACAATATCTGGTGAAAATGCTTATTTGAGTCATAAATTCCAAGACGTAGGCTAGAATCTGTCATTCTGAAGTACAGTGAATATCCACACCGGTGCGGTGACTGACTGCCACACACACATACTCCTCGAAACATTAGATTCATCCACGCTGGAGCCGTGCCGCCGCACAACCCACACAAGGAAGATAATTCCGCACACAGCTGCAATTGCAGGTTTTCAAACAGAGATGGCGACAAAGACGCAAAACTTACGGACTGCAGCTTTAAAATTTAAGGCAGCAACCTAGGTTTTTAGGTTGAAATAGGTGGAGTTTATTTTACAGTGTTATTATAAAGCCTATTATACATTGATCTGTTTTCAGTTTTTGTTTATCTTGCAGAAACTACTCAGCTAAAATTGCTTTTGATTGCTGGTCAAAGTCCTGTTAAAATAAAATCTGTTGTTTCAACACCCACTGAAGTATCGGTCACTCGCTCTTGTCTCGGACACACTTGTAAACATGTTAACTTTGATGTGCTTGCAACTCTCATGCAGAGTGAAGTGCACTTTTATGAGCACTTACACCAACAGATGCTAAAAGACTCCAGGAGTGACAGAGCACATAAAAGCCTTATGCAACATAGATGACCATAAACCTGTACTTTGAGAGATATATCATATAATATAATTCTCTCACTACTGTTTGGTCATCCTATATAGCAGAACTCTATTTGGGTCGCTCTGTTTCTCTAGCTGTTAGGCTAGTTCACTAGGGGAATGTATATGGTTACATGAATGGCTTCAGGTGACCACTTATTTCTCCCCGCTGTGCATTATGTGCTCCTTTTCTGCTCCAACAACCCTTAATATAATTACACACTAGGGATGTAACGGTATGAAAATTTCTTATCACGATTATAGTGAAAAAAATGATCACGGTTATCAGTATTATCACGGTATTGTTAAAATGTGCTGGAAATGTTCAAAAAGTACCGACACACAAATCATTTCACCAAGTTTTACATTTAAAATGAACAAACAAATAAAACAAGTTTTTGTTTGCATAACTAAAACAATAACATTGCCAATGATGTCCGGATTTTAAATGACAACATGACTGACAACAGTTTATCTAATAGCATGTTCAAATATCTCATGTAAATGTCAAATATCTCATGTAAATGTTCAAATATCTCATGTAAATGTCAAATATCTCATGTAAATGTTCAAATATCTCATGTAAATGTTCAAATATCTCATGTAAATGTTCAAATATCTCATGTAAATGTTCAAATATCTCATGTAAATGTTCAAATATCTCATGTAAATGTTCAAATATCTCATGTAAATGTTCAAATATCTCATGTAAATGTCAAATATCTCATGTAAATGTTCAAATATCTCATGTAAATGT